AAAATTAACAAGTTCATAAGTTATGAATGAGCACCATTATTACTTTTCAAACATCATCAGTCACACTAATCAATTTTCTACAGAATCAACCTCTCATTTATATCACATAATAAAATGTTTACTTTGTTTGATTTTGTTGCAATCTGCTCCAAATAACAAAAATAGAAAAGATAGTCAATAAAGATATAAATAAAAGATAAAAAAGATAGATAATTAAGATATAAAAGATAGAAAAGATAGATAATAAGAGTAGAAAGAGTAGAAAGGTAGAAAATAAAAGATAGAAAAAGTAAAAAAGATAGAAAATAAAGATAGAAAATAAAAATAAAAAGAGTAGAAAAGATAGAAAATAAAGGTGAAAAGGTAGAAAATAAAGGTAAAAAAAGATAAATAATAATAATAATTATATGATTATTAAATAATTAATATGTATATACTATTTTTATCAATTTGTTGTTTTGTTACTATTTTTGAAGATTTTTATATTTTTCTATTATTTTTGAAAAATTTGTTAATTACAGAATTTTTGAAAATAACTGTAATAATGTCATATTTTTTTTATAATCACCAAATTTTACTTTTTTAAGAGTGATAACTATAAAGATTTGATTGTATTCAAAATTATATTAATATAAAATAATTATATATCAAAAAATAAGTTTTATTTTCAAAAACTAGCTAATCATTATAGTAAATTTCAAAAATGAAAGACTATTTCTAATCCAAACTAAATTGATTTATGAAATATTTCAAAAAGTAATTTAAAGAAGAACTTGTATTTACTTTTATTAAAGTTTTAATATTATAAGATTGTTTTAAAATATTATTACAAAAAATATTAATAAATTTGTTCTTAATAAGACAAAACTAAAATAATCTATAATTTTAAATATATTGTTACACATTTTTCACTAATTGAATAATTAGTTAATAAACATGAACAAGAATTAGAAGAGATAATTAAACAAATATAAAATAATATGAAAATAATATCTAAGTTTTATATTAATTTCTACTGAAATTATTATAATTTGAAAGAAAAAAAGAATAAAAGAATAAAATAATAGTGTTTTAATTAGATATAGTATTCCGAATAACTGTACTAACTAATTAATTTATGAATTATTTAATTGAAGTGATTAACAAATTTAATTAACTAATTAAAATAACAAAAATAACAAAAGTAATGAAAACTCTTTTACTTTGTTTTTCTCACAAGAAAGAGATTACGATGTCTTTAGTTGAGAAATTCCAAATAATTCAATTATATTAAAAATATTAAAAGACTAGTCTATAATCAAATATCAATTTAATAATTCAATATTAATATTTTGATTAGCTTAATATGATCTCAAAGCTACTTGTTTACAAGATTTAAAGTATATAATTGAGAGGAAAAAGTGAATTATTTAAGTGTTAAAAGATATTTGTTTTATTATGTTATTTATTCTCAAGTTTTGATATGTTGAGTTAGAGCTCAACTACAACTCATATTTATAAATTTTTTATGAAATACAAATATAATTTTAAAAATAAGAAAAAGATATAAAAATAATTATACTTACTAAAAATAAAATTCCAATTTACTAAATATGAAAAGTAGAGAAATAAAAAAGAAAAAGTATAAATCTCAAAGAATTTTGATTAATTAAATTATATCTACTCAGAATAAATAAGTATAAAATATAAAAGTATAAAATAATAAAAAGTATAAGAGTATAAAAAGTATAAGAGTACAAAATAGAAAAAATATAAAAAGTATAAAAAATATAAAAGTATAAAAAGTATAAAAGTACAAAATAAAAAAAGAATAAAAAATATAAAAATATAGAAATACAGGTAAAAAAATAAAGATTATAAATATAATAATTAATAATATATGAGAAAATTGTAAAATGTTCTTTATATGATTTTTTTAATTTTGTAAAATATTACAAATTATAAAATTAAAATACAAAAAGCTTGAGAAAAATTATAAACAAAAATATAAAATAAGTTCTAATTAAAGTTAGGATATCAAAATCTCAAAATAATAATCTTTTAAGAAATATTATATATCTAAAAAATTATTAGTTCTAAGATATTTGCAAAATTCAAGAAAATTAATTCAAAGATAAATTTAATTAAATTTATATTATATATTTAAAATTATTTTTATTTACAATATTTAGATTTCTAATATAGTTTAATTAGTAGAGTTCTTATAATAAAAAGAATATTTAAATGAGTTAGATTATTTTATCTTTGTAAAAAAATAATTTTTTTGCTTAAATAATTAGTTATTATACTTATATATATAATTAAATAGTTTTATTATAATTATAAATTTAAAGTTATTGAAATAACTTCTTTTATATTAATATATTATTTATTTTAAATTATAATTATTATAATATAGATAATTTATTATAGTATATAAAAAAATATAATATAATATTAGCTAGTAATTTTGAATTAACTATTTTTTATTGATAATAATTATTATTTCTTAAATTATTTGGTTTAACAGATAAATTTGCTTGCTAAAATATTATAAATTTATATTTAAATATATTTTTACCAAATATTAAAATATTTTAAAAAAAGTTATTTAATATTAGCTTTAATTATATTATATAATAAATTTTTTACTTTTAATAATTATAAAAAAATATAGTTATTTATTGAATTAAAAATAAGCAATTTTAAAAATTTTTAATATTAGTTCTAAATTTTAAAAAATTTTATAATAAAATTACAAAATTAATTACAAAATAAATCAAATATTTTGAACAATTATAAATAAAAATTGTAAATTTGAATTATATTAATTAAAATATAATATATTTTTAGTTTAGTTTTAAAAAAGGTTAAGCTTATAAAAATTAGATATAAATATACAAAAATTAGTCAAAAAAATTTTAGCAAACAAATTTACTCATTGAATAATTTAAAAAATAGTAGCTTTTAATCAAGTCTCAATAATTTATACTTAATATTTTGTAATTTATAAGACTTTTTATTTTCAAAAAAATGAAAAATTAATTTTGCAATAATATATATAAAATATTTATAAAAATAAAAATAAAATTAGTCTTTAGCTAATTAGAAAATATAATTAAAAATTAGTTTTTATAAAAAAAGAAAAAAATTATTTTTCAATAAAGAAAGAAAAATTTTTAATGAAAAAAGAAAAAAATTTTTGGTAAAAGAAAGAATTTCCAATAAAAAAAATAATATTTTAATAAAAAAATAGTTTTTCAATAAAAAAATAATTTTCAATAAAAAAAATAATTTTCTATAAAGAAAAAAAATAATTTTTTATAAAGAAAAAAATAATCTTTAATAATATAAAAAAATTTCTTAATAAATTTTTTAATAAAAAACAAATAAATTATTTTTTATTTATATTAGCTATATTTTTTAAAAATAATTATTTTATCCATTTTTTATTGAAGAATAAAGAGTATATGAAAAAGAAAACAAGTAAAAACAAAATGTGAAAGCAAGTGAAAAAAATATAAAATAAAAACAACAAAAAAACAAAAGTTTTTAAATAATAAATAATAATATTTATAAGAAAAAATTATATATATTTTATATTAAAACAAATAACAAATTATTTTTTATAATACAAAGTAATATTCTGATTATTAACCAAAACAAACAAAAAAATATTTTTTTATAATAAAGTAATATTCTGATTATTAATTATTCATATTATTTTAATGTACTGTATTTTATAAAAAAAAATAAGTTGCATATAATGAAAAAATTAATGCGTACAAAATTTAGACTATATTTTATAACATAAAAATGATACTATATGCAATTAATATTAACAATTACTAATTTCTTTCTCAAGTTCTTGATTTGATACTGATTATAAATTTATATGAAATAGATATGAAAGCATGAGAATTAAATGTTTTGACAGCGGGAAAGGTAAATTTTTATTGCATATATACTTTATTTGTATATTTTTTCTGAGCCAGGGTTATTAAATGTATGCAAAGTATTAAATTTAGAGGGATTATGTGTTCTAATATATATAGATAACTTTCATATATCTCTTTACATTTTTATTATTGTTATCTAATATATATTTTTATGCGTATATATACAAAATATATGTTACGAAAGAGAAAAAACTATAACACTTTTTCAGGGAGATTATTGAATAAGAAAGGTATTCGTATCAACTCGAACATATGTATGGTAGTAAGCAGTTGCAAAATTCTTTTTAGCAAATGTCGAAACTAGACAATTCGAGCTACATAAGAAATTAGTGATACAAAAAAAAAGATTGGATACAATGGCTTATTATTGCAAAAAAATATGCTGGCTAAAACACACATAATGAATCGAGCATTTTAAAATGTGAATATCTCATTTAAGACATCGGTTTCCAAAGATTCGTGCTTTCTTCATTCTGTTTCAATTTATTGATTCCAAATTAAAATGCTAAATCATATTTATTATAAATATATCTATATCGATATGTATCGGTATTTAGAGAAAGACGTGAAAAAATACTCTATGATATTAGAAAAGCGAAATACATTTATTACACTGTATTTACGTATAATGATTATTTTTGCGTTTTACAAAAATGTTTATAATTTGACAATTTTTGAATCACTTAATAAATCAATAGACGTAAAATATTAAGCAAACCTTTCTCTATAAAAGCTTAAAAAATAATAACAATTGCATGATGACGCTATTGACGTGTAATAAACGCATCCATCACACACAATAACAAACTTTTAAATTAATCAGTGCTCCAGAAGTGACGTTGATTGATTGATGGTGTCGATAGTTGAAGACAGTTTGACGTCAAAGCAAAGGTCAAAATTATTTGATAAAGTAGTATTAAATAACATACGACTTGTTTATATTGACAAATCTATTTAAATAGACTTATAAGATTTGCGCTTTATCAGCTTATTGTTATTGCAAATATCATCTTTTTTGTTTCGTCTTTGACTAATAACTAACATAGTTTTTTATTTGAAAAAATGAAAGGTAGCGAAGTTCCAATTTCGAGACTCTTAAATGAAAAGTCTCCTAATTACCCTAGACAAATTGAGTCAAATAACAACGCGCCGGATGTTATTTTTCCACGACATAATTTTTTCGCACGAGAGCCACCACATACAGCAGTCATTGAGCGCTATCAATCTCAACAAATTTTGGAAAAGTCTGTCACTTCGAGGGAACCAAATCATGGTAATCCACTCCATATCTCGTCTTTGCTTTCTACGCCACCGAAGCAATTTTTCCCTGGCAACCATGCTCAGGAATCACTTGATCACCATCCAATAATCCTTCCGCTGCCAACTATTCATGCGCCCACTTTTTCGCACACTAGCACACCATCATCACGATTCGCTTTATCCTCATCATCAAAATCTTCATCATTTCCCTCACGCGAATATCATCGCTCTTACAGTCGCACCAACTTGAAAACTATCGAAGAAAAAAATGCGTATCGTCTCGAGCGTAATCGCATTGCAGCAAAACTCTCTCGTGATCGCAAAAAAGTTTACATCGAGCAATTGGAAGGTCGTACGTCTAAACTTTCTGAAGAAAACGATGCACTTCGGAAGACAATCACGCGATTGTCGAATCGATTGAATCAGATGACTGATGAGAATTGTAGGCTGAAAATCTTTTTAAAGGATTTACAGGCAAAATTGGGGGAGCAAAACGAAAATAAATGAATAAGAGATTTGAGAAGCGATTGGATAATATTATGAGACTTTTGTTATGCTTTATTATGCTTTTTATGAGATTTAGATAATTTACTTTATAGAATATATTGATATAAAGATTTACTAAATATTTTTTATAATTCATTTATAAAATATCTTTTAGTTCATACATCCAATACAAATTTAATTCTTAATCTTAAATCGGCCTAGGGCAGCCCAACTCCCAATTGGATTTTTGGACAGTAATTTTGCCCCCAAGCTCTAATTGGGTTTTGGGCCCGCCATTCATGTAACACCAAATTCCTAATTATTCGGAATATATAGCAAATAATTTTAGGGATTATAGAGAATTAATAAACATGTAACATTTACATATGCATCTTTTCTTATCATTGTGTGTTTAACCCGTTAACCAAGAGTAGAAAACATATTGTATAATTATATTTTATTATATCAAATAATAGAATCTTGTTCTAATTAAGAGGTTTATAACTATGTTAACTAATAAAATCTTGTTCTAATTGAGGGAGGTTTTCTTATAACCGGGGGGATTGTTTATAACGCAAAAAACACAGTATTTGTTAACTTTGAAAAAGAAAAGTAAATCAAGACATTTTATTGCGGATTCTGACAGTTAAAAATAATTTGTTAAATCAAAGATTGTAATATTATTATATCGAGAAAACTAAAAACCAACTATGACTTTGAAGAAAAATTATGCTTACTTGCAAAAATTTAATGGTGTTATAAGCAAGTGTTTAAATATACTAGAATATCAAAAGATGTTTTACAAATAATTTTGCAAATTATCAAATATATTCTATCGCTATTAGTTGTTGTTAATTCAATTTTTAGCTATCAAATTAACAGTTTTATGGTTATATTAATATCATAAATATAAAATAGTGAATTTTATACATCTTAATTATAGATTCTGATAAATACGTAGATAATACAGATAACTGTACGTATTTTGATATAGCGATAGTGAATTAAAGTTTTGTAATAATGCATCTTTTTCTAATTATCTGAATTTATAAGGAACCAAATTTGGAACGTGAATATTGCCATAATAATTTGATACGTGTGCCCATCACAGTAACTGCAACCCGGCACATGAAAATAATTAAAGGGTAAATTAGTAAGATTCCCTCCAAATTAGATTTAGGCATCTGTTTCGCATTTTTCATTTTCCGGTATTGGATTTGTTTTGCCGGGATGATCAATTTACACATCCTTATCGTTGGTTAGGTGGGCACAGATTTCAGACATGCAAAAAAACAATAACGATACACGTATATACATTGTATTGACTAGAGAATCAGCGATTAATATTGAAAATAAATGCTCAAATAGTGCGTGTCTAAATGAATAATAAAAATAGTGGCGAAAAAAAACAGCTATTACGTACATGTATTATATCGGTTAGAAATTTACTCCAAAATCTTAAATCATCGACGCTTTAAAAATGGAGGTTTATCATCATATGGCTCCATTGATGGTTTATCTTGGTGAAAGTAAAAGTTTGACATTGAAGAGATTCCGTCGTCGTCTTTGTCAAAATGCCAATGTGCAGTTCTAATCTTAGAATTTTTCGATGGTTTTAAAAGATAAGTTTCGTATATAGAGCCCAAAGTGTCAGAGACTCCAGTTTGAGGTGGGCTTGTGATTGCAAATTCGGTCAAATTTGGACACATTTTCAACCATCTCCATTCACACCCGTTGAAGTCCCATTTTACAAGCTCAAGACGTTTAAAGGATTCAAGCTGTGACTGAAATGTGTTGATTAGCATTTTCCCAGGTCCATTTGGAAACACCAATCGAAGATTCAAACGACATTGCTGAACAGAGAAGAGCTTCTCAAGATAATCGAGCGTTTCTTTAACACGATCAGGAGCGTTATCGTAAAGGTTGATATCGAGATGAGACTGGAGGAAATAATTACTGTGAGTTATTAGATGATGCAGACTACGTAATATCAATATCAAAAAAAATTTCTGAAAGGTGCTGCCAAACAGCCTTATGTATAGCATGTATTCAGAACAATTTACAAAGTTTAGAAATAAACATACCAGCCTGGTGCAATTTTTTGCTAATGTCTTCATGACATTATTTTTTGAAAAAGGCGTGTGTATTTCAACATGAATGAGGGAATTGAATATTGGGGCATAGCATGGTGCTGTCCATATTCCATAAAATGCTTCATTATTTGCACCGGTGTTATCCATAACAAAAGTGTTCAGACGAATTCCACGATTTGTTAGCATTTGAAGTATTGCTTCAACCCTTTCTCCTAATGCTAGTAGGTTTGTATAATTGAGTTCTTTAAGAAACAACGGATAATCATAAAGCACCGGAGTCTCTTGGACTGCACCCCGTGCTGAATTTTCTTTCGTTCCTAGAAGTGTACTGCTTCCTCGTTCGAAAAACAATTCGTAAATCTTTAGTGCGGCTATACTCCTTTTCTTTGTATAACTGAATGGAGCTTTCCAATACATTGGAACGGCGATTTGGCACCATTCTTGGTTAACTAGAAGTGCCGAAAGTAAATCACGGACACTCAGATTTTCGAAGATCTCTGTAATAACATCTGCAACTAAGTTTGATTGAATGGTTTCCATTTCGATATTCCAAATCTATCAATGGTGGCAAAATTGAATCTATCGCTATTTATCATTATCGGAATTTACAAACTACGTACATCGTTATGATTTGCTGAACGTCTAATTGGTACATGTATCTATATATGGTAAATAAGCCACAGACAGTTCCAGCATAATCATGATTGCCATTATTCGATTTCCATAGAAAATCCATAGAAAATTTGCAACGGTAAGTACATGTACGTACATAGAAAATGAATTGTAACGGTAAGTACATACGTATATAAACAACTAAAAATTAGGAATTATTACTTTTCCTTTTACAGTATACTGTAAATTTTTTTCTAAGACTTAATTTAAATGATGACATTAACTATTAGTGTTAGTGGAATTACTTAAAAGGCAAAGTCTTTTTACAGATTTTGGCTGCTGATAATTTCTTAATAGAGTGGGTAATTCCAAAAATTGCAAAGATAGGCCCTGTTCGAGATGCCATTCAAGATCTACAGTATACATGTACATACCATATGAAATTTGAATATAGCATTAGCGTTAGGAGATAGAAAACGAATCTATGAGTAAAAATTTTAGTTATTCTGTGTGTAATTGCGAAATTATACTTACGACAATGGAATGTCCAAACACCTGGATTATTGGCAACGAATCGAATTACTAACCATCCTTCACCAGGTACATCTTCAGTGTCGCGTTTTATTGGGTCTATTAGATTTAGCGTAGCATTATTTTTGTCAAAAAGTCCTTTCCCAGCTCCAAGAATCCAAAAGTTGTGGCCATGCTTAAAAATTAAATGAATAAAAATTAAAGTTGCAATTCTCTAAAGATAAAAAGTTTAAATAATAATTTCATGACTTACCATATGGAAAGGATGGTGTTCGTCATGTAAATCTAATTTAAGAATATTCGAATCAATGTCAAGATTGAAAATATTAATTAATTTGATAATAAACACACTCACTTTGCAAAATGACTTGAATAACTTCTCCAGGTTTATCAAAAGTATAAAGATTTGCATGTGGTCCATCAATCGGCAAATTACGGATAGCTTTATCAAGCGAAGGATGATCAAGATCCAGTTTGAAAGTGGAATTATTTACGAAACCTTTCGTATAATTATTAGAATCAGGTCTTAAATCAATCGTTAAAATGAATTGAGTTCCGACTGGCAATGGTGAAAACTCGTTTAAATATGGTTTGAGCGTCAGCGGTTCCAAATCAACAATATCGGCTTTATCTTTCTTGGTAGTCCAATCTTGTGTTTTAGGTTTGTTTAATGATGCTCCTTCGTAATGCACGATTGCTCGAATATCGGGGTTTACACCGTTTTCTGTGTCGTCGACTCCCATTACAGCACGCATCCAAAAATTGTTTATAGTTTTATCGGCTTTTACGATTACCGAGCATCGTTGACCAGCATTAATTGAGAGATAGTTCACTTGTTGAGACTTGACCAAAACCCCGTCGATTTCAATCACATCTAATAGATGTTCATCTATCGAGAAATTAAAATGATCGTCGGCACTTTATTGAATATGTAAAAGGATCGAATTTTTAGTAATGAAGTTACATGTGAAATATTAAAAAATAATTATAAATAACCTCATATTGATAATCCTTATACGATATTTTTTCCCCTGTTGAAATACAAATCTCGAAAGACTATGGTTTGAAATGCATGTAGTTCCAACTGGTGCTAATGTACAATTATAACTGTGTCTTCCATTAATTAAACCGGAGTCTGGTGCGGGCTTAACACGAAAATTAAATTAATAGATGTTTAAACTAAATCAGAAAAATTAATTACTTACTTCACTGTATCCTTCTTGAAGAGGTTTCATGAGGGCCTTTAGCAATTCGGGGGTCTCAGTATGGTACCAGTCGTGCAGTGTTACGATGAATTCTTTGTCGTATTTTTGTAAGTAAGGATCTTTAGGATCGTGAACTATAAGAGGTCCGGCTAGTCCATCTACATATTGTGCAAAATAATGTGAATGCCTATTAATAGAAAATATGTAAAATATGTCATTTATTTCATTAGTTAAAATATATTCTAAGAAGAAAATGACGAATAAAAAGACAGACTCACCACCAATGCGTTCCGGATTGAGGCAATTGAAATTCATAAGTAAATTCTTCACCAGCTGGGATTGGACATTGAGTTCCACCTGGGACTCCATCATACCAAGGCGTACCATTTTGGAAAATTCCATGCCAATGGAAAGCAGTTTCCTCATCACCAAGATTATTAATAACATGAACTTTCAATCGATCGCCTTTAAAAGCGTGAATTGTTTGTCCAGGAAACTTTTTGTTGACTGTCCATACGCGACGAGTGAATCCATCTGGTGCTAAGTTCGTTCTCCCGACATCGAAAGTAATTTCATGGGTTAGGGGCGTAGATTGAGGGTTTGGTTTTTCACTTGCGATTATATCGTGTGATGTTGTTAGTTCTGTTGTTATTAATGGAGTAAGTAAGAAGAGAATTATCAATAGGCTGGAAAAAGGTGCCATAGTTGGTTTTTTCAATGGACAGACATATCTTTTTTATACTTTTTCGCGCTATGAAATAGCTTACGATACGATATGTACATATATTGTGTAACTACGTCCATAGAAAAAAAAATCGAGTTTTTTTTAGTTTAGTTAACTTTGTAACAGGATTCACTAACTCAATCCGGACAATCACCACTCAATTAGACGAATCGAACGGTGATACTATCGCTATCGTTTATTTTTCCCGTTTTTTAAAATGGATTAATTTAACTTTGTGCAAAAATTGATCCCAGTAACTTTGGGACGCGATATCTCGTGATTCACGATTTGTCTAGACGAATCGAATGGTGTATTTAAAAGAGAAATGGCTTTTCAACAACCGGATTATAGGAATCAGAAACACATTGCTAAGTAAAAAAATTCAAGTTCGCGTTAGCCAATATGTTGCCGTAGTTTCAATTGGAATTGGTGTGATTTTATAAATAATACCGCTCAGTGCTACAATTTAAAGCTTAATTTAGAACAATTTGTTCTACCAGTGAATAATTCAAGGTTCGTGGTGCAGTTTCTTATTACTAATGAAAAAAAAATTTACAGGAGAAAATGACAAAGATTTTAATGTGGATTATGCATGCAAATACAACCATGCAATTTGCTAATTAAAGTAATTGGTCTCTAAAAAATTTTCTTGTATCCTTTATCTTGGATAAACATAGCGATAGATATACGCAGTGTTGTCGCTTGGACATAAATCCAGCAATTTGATTGGTCGAAATGCTTGTCCCGACCAATCAAATTGCTGGATTACGTCCAAGCGACAACACTGGATATATAGGTATCTTTATTTCTTGTATTTGTGTATGTATGTGTATTAATGAAAACATTAAAATAAATATTTTACCTAATTGAAAGCCTTTTTTTAAAGAACAGGAATTTGATTATTAAAGTTACATGTAGTAAGACACATTCCCCGAATCAGGTACTTTTATTTCAATTATCGTTATGGCACTTTCATTGTTCGAAACAGGCTCTGTGAAACTTGTACAACGATGTAAATAAAGATTTTAGTTACGCCCCGTCAACTTCCATTGACCTTTTCAGGCGATTGTTATTGTTAGTTATAAGATTTAAAAAGTTATCAGATTGAAAGTTTCCTGATTAATATTAATTAAAATTTTAGTTACACCCGTTAACTTCCGTTAACCTTTTCAGGCTATCTCTATTGTTAGTTATCAGATTAAAAAAGATTGTTTTAAAGTTATCAGATTAAAGGTTTCCAGATTAACGTTAATATTACGTATTTGTGATGATTTACCGAAGTAACGTACCCCTTATCGTTATCATGTGTAATGTACCAAATGCTGATCGTTGGTAGAGTTTCTATATAACTAAAAATCGGATGGTCCTGATTCATATTGTCGATAAAAAAATGAATCGATCAATTTATGATCCAAAATAATACCATTCGATTTGTCTAATCAAGACGAATCGACACTGGAGATCGAGATAACACGTCCTAAATTGGCTGATTAATTTTTGTTGACTCCAAAAAAAATGAATCTGCTACTTTAAGACGTAATATTTCGACGACCAGTGATCCGATTTGAACAAACATACTACCATTTGATTCACCTCGACTGGGCGAATCAAATGGTTGTATGTTTGTTCAAATCGGATCACTGAACGTCAAGAATTAGATTATCGAATATTGAGATGTGTGTTATGAAATAACTGATTATACATGTACGTATTTAGGACTTGAACATACAACACCCGATATAGAAGCTTTACTAAATCTATAAAAGGTGATTCGGGCTAAAGTATTTAACATCAAATGATCTGCAAAAAATTTCTAAATTAGGATTTAGGACATTTACACTTTAGGACTTATATGATTATTCAAAGTCCGAAATATTTAGGACTTTGAAAAGTACTTTAGCCCGAATTATTAGGGGATACGTTACTTCTGATGAGCACTGTATCAGATTAAGTTTCCAGGTTAGCATTTTATTATTTGTGTTATCACATGTAATTTTCAGTAACAAGTAAAATCTGATTCATATCAATATTACCTTAACTGCAGCGTTGGGAATCTGCTGTACTAATATATTTGTGTTATTTGATTTAGATATCGCAAAAAGGCACAACAGTAGATTGTATTTATCGTTATCGTTATTAGATAAAGTCGAATTAATAACGGTAAAATACAATTGTTATGCGTCATAATAACTATTTTTTTATGCTAAGTAAAAAATGTCACCGAGTTTATTTTCATTGATTGAACCAAAAAAAAGTTTTTTTATCGGATGTTGTTTTGTCCCTTTTCCACTTATTAAAAAGAATTTATCAAGTTCATCATCAGCAACTTCCGAAGACAAAGTACTGTAATGTTAGTTTTAAAATTATTATCGAAATGCTATTAATATGCTTTAATTTTCTAGCATCATCCCATATAATAAATTAGTACAAATTTTATACAAATTTTTTTAATATATACGTATCGGTATAAATTTCTCAACCCTAACCTATTCATTAAAATATAACTTGAACTTTGTGTCAGTAAATTACCTAAGAATTTTGTAATTTGATCAGATAGCACATTTTTTAATATATACATATCGGTATAAATTTCTCAACCCTAACTATTCGTTCGTTTTAATCTGTCACAATAATTAAAATATAACTTGTACTTTGTGTGTCAGTAAATTACCTAAGAGTTTTGTAATTTGATCAGATAGCACATCATTAACAAATTGAGGAATATCGATATGATTCATCATCTTTATCAGATTTTTTCGCAGCTAGTTCTTTATTATGATTGTTACCGTTACGGCAAGCATTTTTAATTTTAAACATTATAAATAAAAACGACATGGTCGTAATATCACAAATGAATTACAGCAAGCAGCTTTAACCTACAGTGCGGGACAGTCTAAAGCATCAACTCAGGTTGATTTAAAAGTGTCATAACTCGTGTTCTATACGTGAAACAAAAAAATCATCTTTAGCCAAATTTGGCCTAGCTGTAATTTGGCTTTTGTTCGATGTATGGAACATGAGTTATAACCCTTTAAAATTCGCAGTTGAGTAGATGAATTATGCTCCCCGTCCCTGGAGTAATTATAATCTGTGCTCTGTTCCTGATCACATGCACATGACAAACCAATAAGGATGCGCAAATTTTTGATCAACCCGGTAAAATAAATCCGACACAAAAAAATGAAAAATGTGAAAAATAAGGGAAAGATGTCAAAATCTAACTTGAAGCTCAAATAAAAATTGTCGGGGAGGCAATTTTACAATAACTTTGTTCTCCACTCTAACCCTTACCCTAACCCAAACGATAAAATTGACCTTTAATAGTTGCCGGCACACATATGATTTGCATTCTTATTGGTTTATTATCATGTGATCGCGAACCGAGTACAGATTATAATTATGCCTAAAACAATAATAGGTCAAGTTTATTTTTCGCATAATTTTTTCCAGAGGTATATAGATTTAAAATTATACACTTTTCTCAAGTTTCTTAATGCTGGACAAAATTCAGCATAATTTGATCGTCCATGGCTTCAGCTAATCAAACGCATGTACTAGATTTCTAATAACGATAATGTAACATTCTTTTAAATTCGGAATAGGATTTGTTCATGTGATTTAAGCTATTATTTTGATTGGTCAAAAGGTTTCATCACAGGTTTTATGGGTTTTGTCCAACAAATGGTGTGACGAAATCTTGTGTAAAAAATAGTATCATTTTCTATTGTTGTTATAAAATTGTGCATTCAAAATGAAGATAATAAAAATTCATATACCATAAACTACTGTGAATAAGCATCATTCAATTAATATAATTTAGGATCAAAAACATAGAATGGTGCTTATTTTTGTAAGTTAAAATTAACTTTTTATTAACTTTGATATATTTTTATAATTTTATCAATACGAAAACTTAAATATAGTTAAAAATGCAATTTCGCAATATAGTGACAATCAGAAATAATGCAATGACATCAAAATTTATTAATTAAACATAGTAAAATACAGATTTTTCTCTTTATATAAAAGTTTTCAATTTTATTATTAAATATTTTTTATTTTTATATTAAAATGAAGATAATATCACATATTTTAACATATATTTTTTTCACATTTTTTAGATTTAATCTGAAAAAACTATATGTTAAAATATGTGATATTATCTTTATTTTAATGTAAAAATAAAAAATATTATTAGTAAAATTGAAAACTTTTATATAAAGAGAAAAATCTGTATTTTATTATATTTAATTAATAAATTTTGACATCATTGCATTATTTCTGATTGTCACTGTATATTTATATAAATATAGTTATATATACTTATGTAAAGCTCCTTATGAGTCAGCTTGCAAGTTAAAATTTCTATTTGTCAAATTCTGCATTGATTTATTCATTAATAAATTTCATATATCAGAAAAATTAACATGATCAAATCTGTAATAATCTGCTGATAATTATAGTTTTTTTGATCAAAATTATAAAAATCTGCAAAAAATGCAAAAAAATATAAAAATGCAAATTTATGCTGTTTTTGATCAAAAAACTATAATAATCAGTATATTTGCTAATTATCACTAATTTTTTATAATAATATATTCATAAAATATTTTTGAATTTTGAATTTTGAAATCTATTAAAAATATAAATTTGATTTTAATATTTTTATAGCATAATTTCAATAATTTCTATCTAATAAATCTTTTTTGAGAGACTAAATAAAGTTATTTATTAGATATAAAAATAATTATTGGTTAAATTTGAAGATTTTTAAAGAATTTTACATTAAATTATTATTATTTTTCACAAAAAAACTAATTTTATATTATATATACTTTACAGCATAATTTCAATAACTTTTATATAATAAATTTTTCTTAAATAACTAAATAAAATTATTTATTAAATATGAAAGTAGTTATTTGTTGAATTTGAAATAGTATTCATATAAACTAAACTTTTACTTGGATTTGGATCTG